TGGCTAGACTCCAAAAAAATCGTGGAACATCATCCGTCACTACATCCACCAAACCATTATCGAGATGAGTCTTGGCGCTCCATTTTGACCCAAAGAGAAAACTACTTATGCACCTACATATTTACATCTTACATTTACACCACACACGAAGTTATTTTAATGCGTGAACGATCGATTGTCCATTAGAATCCATCTATGGGAGTTACAGGTTGAGATGATATCTTTATCGGCTTGACTGTCTGACTTTCTGAAGCCTTTGCGCTGCAGCGCGGCCTACAGTATGTTTTTAATACGGCTTCACCGTTCGGTCGACTAGGGTGGACAGGACCGCGTTCGTTTCATCACTGCTCGACTGAAAACCTAATTCAACGAGCATTTGAACAAGAGATCTCGCATTCTTGGTCAACTGCTTTGACTACTGAAATGATGTTGCTGAACACTTGCAAAAATCACAGTCTCCTTCCTTAGGTGGAATGACCATTCTCGTTGCGGTGGATAAATCCGTTGATACTTCCGATAAGTGTGCTTTCCTGAGCGCAAGATTATGATAGATAGAAGAAAATTTCATCAGGAAGATAGGGACGACCGTCCAGGCAGATATGTCAGGTTGGTCGATAAGAAATGTCGTCTGGAAAATAAGAAACAATACCAAAAAACATAAACCTAAACCGTGTCCTCCATACAGAACAGTGGAGTTCATCCCTTTTCTGTGCAAAAATGAAATGGATGACTTCTTTGAAGAACCGTCTCGGGTGCGACTCGAAGAAGTTGGACACCAAAATTTTGGCGTCGTCGAATTCTTGAGCTTATTCTTGAACAAGGTGTGTAATGCTGGCCGGTATGATTGGTAATCAGAAGATACCAAGAGTCTGTTCCAGTTGGCAGCACAGCTTCTATGTCCATTCTTCGGGTTTTTTGCGGTATTTCCGCGACATGGGGGTTTTGCGCTTTTGAGCACCAATTTCATATCGGACAGAAGAGACAGACGATGACGACTGACGATGATTTTTTCTGATGACGCAGCTCTTGATCCAAGCAGACTGCTATGCGTAGAGATCAACACTAAGTGTCTAACCCACAGTCAACACTTCAAGCTACACCATTTCCGTACTGTCCTGCAATACAAAAACACGACCTTCTGTTCCGTGGATGACCGATTTCGGAGTCGGTCTCAGCTGTCCATCTGCTACCAACCACGACCGTCTTCTCATTGTGCTATCGTGGGACATCCTTTCTCAGACCTTTCTGGCTCCACAGCAAAGACAAAAACTGTGTTGTTTTTGGAGATGTGGGCAGAGTTCCACCGCTGCCAGAGTTCACTGTTTGTTCGCTTCACTAAAAAGATGCGGCACCCATTTTCTGCGCCAATTGGCTTCACCGAGAACAGAGAAGCTTTCAAACATTCTGTTGACGCATTCAAAGCTTCACCCAAATTTTGTGTAGCTTGGCAATGACTCGATTCAACGGTTTTCTTTAGTACTTTGTTATCAACAGCTCAATTCGGTATGCATGCTCCTCGACCTCGACATTTACCTCAGTCTTGGAAGCGACGAAACCATGGCTGTAACTGCCTTAGAGACTGAGCGTTGCTGTTGACATTACTTGATAAGAATCAGTAACCGCTGCTCCCTCTTTGAAGGCACACTGGGGCGGTAAGAGAAGGCTCGTTCCCTGACATTCAATATATCCTGCTGTGCGCCAAAAAACTGCCTTCCGAACAAGTACCCGCGTCTTGTAAGACATCATTTTTTGCCATAGAAGCAGTGTCACAAAAGTGAGCGACATTTCTTTTTTGCCAACCTAATAATTTATAGTGCGCGATAAAAACCGGTTTGAGCATCATGGATTTTGCTAGGAATTTTTTGAACCCTTGAAGCGTTTTCCCTGTTGAAGCAAATAGCCTTCAACTGCATCGTTACAGCATGTTCGTTCAACAGAAAAAGATTCTACGCCAACGGCGAGGGTGAGTTTTATTTCGAGAGGTTCCAAGACTTGGACCTATAATTTTACATGAACCGATATTTTACGTGAATTTTACATGAACCGATGTATGTGACGCTGATGCGTCACATATATCGGTTCATGTGTAATAAGTAAAATAATAATTTCGAGTTCTGGGACCTTTTGGAGTATATCTGTTATTTTTTATATAGGTTCATTTTTTTCGTCCATAATGATACGGACTGAAGAATTTTGATCGCATAGCTCCCTTATTAATCGTCTTTTTGGTAGTAGGAGTTGAGTATGAAATCATTAGGGCGGTGAAGGCTGTGCCAAGATCACTCAGGGATGGCACTCACATCTCATCATCAGTAGATGCTTGCATAAGTTTTAGGGAACGATACCTCTTCTAGAAAAGAAATATCTACCAGGAAGGGTCGAGGGTTAGCCTTATCGCACATCAAATCTGATTCAAATTTCCAAACTCTGCTTGGTTCTTTCGGCTTGTTTTTTAAATCGATCGAGCTGTGTTGATAAAGTTACTGTCCTAAATCGATCCTACGCCTGCATTACGATGGTCAGGCATCTCAAAAAAGAAACGATCATTCTATGCCACCTAATTTGCGTACACATCCTTTTAATTATCGATTTTCTCGTGGTTCGCTTCTTCCGCAGTACATAGTTCAAGATTTTCGTCCAAAGATTTGTCCATGTTCAGCGGGTCGGAATTAGGATGTAAAGGAACCCCCTACCACCTACATATAATGGGCTGAGTGTGCAACCAGATGCGATGTCACGGTAATGGTCCGTGACTCGAGTCCGTGGTAATAACGCCCGGTCTCGTATTTAGCGCCATGACCGCCCAGTGAACGCTATGACCGCCCACTGCGGAAGGTCGTGCGTGGCTGGCATAGGGCATGGAATTAGTTGGATAGGGCGTGTGAATGCCTTTCGGCAGTTGGCACGGATCAGCAGTGGCTGTTATGTCCGGAAAGTCGTTCAGACACGCCTTTTTCTTAAGCCATCGCTGCTGTTGGGAACGAGCGAGTTCACGAATTTTTTCCCATTTTTTCTTCAGTGGCATTACACTTTGCATCTATTCACTTGCTTAGAGCTGTAAGAAAAGACCCCAGCTCAATCCTTACTCGTGCTCTAAAAAAGCGCGAATAGGTCCAATCTGTGTAAAACGCTTCGAATTCCACATACAAGCATGATATCAATGGAGTTTCAATGAACGACAGAAGGTTAATCGTGATGTCTTAATGCAGGTGAACCCATGTTGGTATTTTTGTCACGAAATGCGACCGTATTCTGTGATTCCGGGGATGGATCGTGTTTGAAGAAAGGAGAGACTTGGGACGAAGCGAGTTTCTGCAAAATTTTTGCACTTCGAAAACGTGTCGAAAAACTCTCAATTTCAATACTCGACTCGACACTTGATTTTTGAGGACGGAGTTTCAGAACCTACCGATATGAACTATGTATTACATTTTCGATGATGATATGCACGCCATCCGATTCGGTCGTGTGGTGACCCTCCATCCAGACTGAGAGGAGAGTAGTCGTTCAACTTCAAAACTTTTCAAAATGAAAACGCGACGATTAACTATGTTTCTGCGTTACTTCGCGAAAGCCATCGAAGTGATTCAATGTACTCCATCCTCAGAGGTTGGGTAACATTATTTCCAAACTGATTGCTTACAAAAAACTGCAGCTTTTCTCGATTAATATCAGTGTCAGTTTTCTCTGTTTTCGGTTTTATAAGATGTCTCTGCTCTGTTCCAATGCATGAAAAGCACATTCTGTATTGGAATACTGAAATGCGATTTATATAATTTTAATTCCAGTATAATGATTCGGAGGATTCTGGCAATGATAGGTGCAAAATATGTAAGGTAAGATGTTTATCAACTATGGTTTAATTATTTTTGTCCCCCCGGCGGCCGCTGGTACCTCCATCCTGCTTATACTTCGCGCATCTCGTTGTACTCCTTACATTCGTGAGGTGAACACTTCCAGACGATTTGCGCATTGACAAAGAGAGTTTCTCACATACAATGTGTTCCATAATAATAATAATAAGGTCACTCCCAGATTTTGCATTTGCGGAAGAAGCAGCAACACAGCTAATGAGCGCCGCAATATGGGTTATAAGTTGCGATATTCAGCAAATGATGCTTGAGGCCTATTAGCGCGAACACTCGAAAATGGAGTTTGCGATGAAAAAAAAGAGCCCGCCCGGAATTAAAAAATAGAAGGATGAAGAAAGAAGCATGAAAAACGGTCCAAGACCCGAGATATGAGACCACCTTTTTGCCCGTTGGCTTGTGCGTTACTCGTATACATCGGTGCTAAGCTTAAACGCCAACAGTAACACTCTATCTGCTGGAGCGGCTAGAGTCAAACGGCTAGGGGTGGGTGGGCAGCAGCATGAGCGGCGCGGGTAAGGCCCTGCTACGCCGCTGGGGGCAAATGCTCTGCTGCGGAACCCGCATCTTCTCTCAGTCATAAGGGCGCATCTGCCTTTCTTCAGAAATATTTCCTTTCTACTTCCACTCTGACCTTATAGTGGATCGTCCTTCAGAACTCAACAAGATCCACTCGGAATGCTCATTCCCAATAATTCTTTCCCCACTGGCTGTCTTCTTCATAGCGGCAGCAATTTTGCATCGAAGGTCCAATTCCGGGCATTACTATAGTATTATTAACCTTGGAGCGTTTTAGCCAGGATCATCTTTCAGCCGCCTCGCTTCCTGTGCTTTGTAGTGGCCATTGATCACTACATTTGACCATCAATTAGGGATAGTTTACCACTGTTCATGTTGCAGAACGAATTTCGCGAAACTTTTCGAACAATGAGGTTAACAATTCGGGTCAACGAGCTTCGCACTTCTTATCTTCTGCTGTCGAACTTGCGCAATAATCAAACCACTAACCATTATGTCGTGAACGAGAGTTTCTCGTGTCTAAACTTCGACCACAGTGATCAGCTACAATGCCAAATTTCATGCGAAAGCAACAAGATGGCATGCAGACAGAAAATAGTGCTTCCTATAAGCATGTTGAACGCCTCAATTACGGTGCGTATTATTTCAGTGTAAACTGGACAAGAAAATACCAATGAGCAGAGAGGTAAGCCTTCCGATGGCCGTTTACTCAGACTAAGTTTTCCAAAGTATGAGCGATGTAAAGGTTGGTTGTTATCTCTATCATCGACCTATGGAGGCATTTGACGTTTTTGCACTGGCCCACCTTCATGTTACATCGGAGATTTCTCCCTCCCACTGTGTGCCGCTAGAATGTAGAGCTACCAAAGGAATAGAAACTTCCGACCAGGTTTGCTTCCGATCGAGCCGAGCTAAGCGCTCACCTCGAAATGCAGAACAATAGAGCACAATGGCCATTTTCTCAGTGTATGCCCACAATTCTCCCGTGCGCGCTACTTTTTGATGAACCATTTGCTCTATGAGGTTTCATTCAGTGGAATACAAGTAACGGCAATATTTTCAGCGGCTTTCCGAGGAGACCATTTGCGAGGTGAGTAAAATCATCAACTACGAAACAAAACAATGAATTTTAGAGAGAATATCAAAATACAATTTCAAAAACGTTCTGAACGAGCGTTCTGTTCAGTATAATGTCCTGTTTGTCTGCATTACAGTCCAATAAGACTTTGGTAATTCACGTTAATTTCAACACATATTTCTTAAAACATCAATATTTCGGTTTATGTCACAAAACATTTCGCAGTTGTTGTTGTGCATTTTCTATTGTAATATTATGACTTGCCGCTTTGGAAGATGGGCATCGCCGTTTCCTATTTTAAGATATAGTCCTTTAAAACAACTTTGTATCGCTTAGAGCACAAGTCTGCATTGAATTAATGTATTGTTTTGTTTGAAAATTAGGCAGGAATTGCAATGTAGGATCAATAGAGGAAAATGCAAGGACCATAAAGAACACTAGAATTCTGCTGCGAGGTCGGTCCTGGTAAGAAAGAGACACAACGTTGCGAGGAGAGAGAGAACGCGAGAGAGCATGCTGTGCGCAAGAAGGCTACGACACCATACTTTCGAGGATTATTGATAAAGATGGCCGCGTGGCAGCACACAAAGCAAGGGCTAGCGCCGTCCCCTCGTACTTGAGTTACGACACTGCCACGCCTCCTGCGCTTGAGAATCCCTCTTTCTCCCAGACCAAAGGCATTTTCTCTTGGAAACTGATAGCCGACTCGTAGCTTCAATGAATTAAGATTCACTCATAAACTTCTTGTTTCTTGTTATACACAAAAGGAAATCGATACATTAGAATGAACGTGAGTTGAATTGATTTTGTACTTATATACCATGTGCTGCTCACATCACATAGCAGGTATGTGCACCACTCCGACCAGCACGGAACGCGGCCCTCCTGGCCTCCCTTGTTTCTTTCCATTCTAACAAGAGAATAAGTAAGCATTGTTGAAGAGCGTTCAGTAAGAAGAACGCTAGCGAAGCCCCTATTTGAATGGAAAACACTTCAGAGCAATGAGCAAAAGCAAGCTGTTACAATACTTTCAGATTGTGAGCATATCTCCTCATCGCGTAGTCAAAGTGAATTGGAACGAGGAAAAAGAGTTCAACACAGGCAGACAGGAGAACCAAAGGGGGTACTGGAGAAATCTATACAAATTGCGACTCGTTTTGAAGCGAAGCAGCTTGAGAGGGAATGTTCTGTGATTTCAAGTGCCTTTTGTGAACAACTAGATAAGTCGTGTGAATTCCAAAAATTGCTAGAAACCAATAGAGGCCTACATTCACCAGTAATTAGATAGGATTGCCCCTATCCACTGACCTTTCAAACGATAAGAAGGCCGTCTTTGCGATTGGGCGATTGTCAAACTAGCCGGTTGCATGTAGGGATTTTGCAGTTCAAGTGCTGTTCCGGGTACGCAAGTTGGGTGAGAAATGCCTGAGCCTCAAGCATGAAGAGGATTGAATGCAATGCAAAGCAGTATGGAATAAGAACAGTTCAGACTGTCCATCGTCGATGTCTCGACTAATTTGGACTCAACCGCCATGGGTGACGTGGGCTTTTGAAAACGTTATAGAGGTCCACATGAATGAAAGAGAAGTAACAAATTATGGGAAGGTCACATCATTTTTCAAGCAAAATTATTTGATATACAAATTGACCCCATATGATAGTGAAGGTGAAACTTTGTCTAAAGAAGGAGTTCGGCTAACTTACCGTTACTCCTCAGTAAAAACGTTATCAGGATTCTTCGGCATAGAAAACTTACTTGTGATAATCATGTTTCAAAAGGCAGCACAATTCTGTTGCAAAAGGTATTAGGGAAAATCTATAATGGGACACGCCGTATATTATTTCTCATTCGACATCATTACATCACGGGAGCAAGGCGTCTCATGCATTTTCAAGTCTCTTCTTTTCAGCTCAAAGACTTTCAACCTTTTACAAGCAATTGTTACGACGACATGGCTGACGCTATTGTTAGTAAAGTTTCATTATTTTCCCTCATTTTCGATACAGAGATATGCTATAACAATTTCAGGGATTTTCAAAATATCGTCCATATATCATACAAAAACACAAGATGTGTCCCAACTGTAGCTGCTCTTACTACATGATACCATAAACGCTCGTGTTCAGAGAAATAATTTTCCGCAAGAAATTCACACTTGCAGATTGACATCAAATTAAAAAAAATACCTGTATTCATTCAACTTCAACCTTATTCCCATTGAAATCACCCGAATATTCTCAACCGCTTGCCGACGATCGACAAGAGAGTGAAACCTCCCGTCCAGGATTCGGCAGATTCCAAATCGAAGAAGTGCTGGGGGTCTATCTTCACATCCTAGCAGTCATCGTGCATTTTATCCTACAGGAGGCGAGCCATCGAACGGAACATGGAGTGATTCGATGCAGCCAGAGTTGGCGAATATTAGGATGTTGCAAGAGTGTGAATCCATGCTCTAACAATGAGTCCTGGGTTCCTGAAACATGCGGACATTTTGGGTTGCCACAAAGAAGAAGAACTCCGTTCAGCCTAAGGCGTAGTTACACACTACGCGAGCCTTTTGTAGCAGCTAGCAGTACATACGCTCGAGCGTCGAAGCGGTGTTATCTGGAAGTTGCTCGTAGTGGTGTACCTCGCGAGTATTCCACCTAATTGAGAGAGTAGAACCTTCTTTCAAAAAGTTCTTTTTTGGAGTTGGTCTTGACTTCTATTCCCTCTGTCTCCTTATGGTATAGCACACGATGAGTACCTAACTTTTCATTGCCGGTGATAATGTTACAAAGGAAATTGAAACGACCGCTGCCCATATGAAAATCTCTCCATGTCTTCTCTTGGACACCGCCGATTCGTGTGTGATCCATCGACCAAGTTTCTTGGCTTTCACCATTCTTATAGAGAGCACGACTCATGGCCGAAAAGGAGCACTGCATTTCGGGTAAATGCAATGCAATTAAGGGCCAGAGTTGGGGCTTGCATGTGAAATCTCGAAGTATTTACTCCAGACGCTTCAAATCCGCTTCCATTGGACGACGACGGTGAATTTTAAGGTCGTAATTTTCTTTAGGGAATATTCTGAATCAGAATTGACATGCTCTTTCTTTCGTCGTCCTTCGGTTGATGACGCGTTAAACGTGATGAGCGCGAATATATGGATTCAGAAATTCCCGTTCATATCGATGTTCCCCATTCTGTCAAGCTTTCAAATCCCACAAAACTTCCGTTGTGGTTTAACAGCTGAGCGCTCTGCTGCATCAGTTGAGTCAAAAGTGATTGGAAAATCGAATTTGTTGAAATACTTACTTGCTGTCCAGCAGCGAAAAAATGAGATCAAAGATTAATGGTAAATAAATGGGATGAAGATGAGTGGTTAAGAATCGATATGGAAAACTTGTATGCTTTGTAGGTCACCTCTGTGGAATCCCACGTAGAAACTGTGACATTTCTCAGCTCACTATCCCATCAAAGGTCGGATAGCGGTACAGTGGAAATGAGCGAATTTAGCATTCAATATCGCTGTTGCCAAGTCTAGGATACAAATGCAGGTCAAAAAGAATAGAGACGTAATGTTGAAATGGAACCGATTACCAGTCGACATTTCAGGCATGGCATATAAACCACCTATCCCTTGGAGCAAACTTCAACCCCCCCCCCCATAATATCGCGCAGAGAGTGATTTTGAGAAATTTGGCAAATGGTTTGAGATCAACAATCTAACATGATGACCTACATCGTTTCTTTGCAAAAAGCGTCGTGAGACAACGTTACAATGAGGCATTCTGTAACGCAACTGCTGCATAGTCATACGGAAAGTCAAGCAGTTCACAGCCCTACCAGGAACATAACTTTGATCTACCCAACATAGTACACTGTCGACCAGTTATTCATGGTACTTGCATGAAAACTTGTTTTTTTTCATACTGATAATTAGCTAACGAAGGTATTTGAACGTTTAATATTTTCAGCCACCGTCTCCGGCAGAGTCATCAAGGGCTAGTAGCAGAGAGGTAAATTATGCTGAGATCCGTTTGTAGTACATAGATGGAACAGCAAGAGAATCCGATCCAGAAGTGCTATTCCGTTGACTTGCGCGTAGATCTAGCCTAGCTCCTTCACTAGGGTGCTATGTTCTGATGCACGAGTCGGCCCTTGGAACTGATAATTTCTTCCGTAATTTCTGCTCAATAGGCAGTTGACGAGCAAGTTGGTCTCAGTAACAGCGTTATGATAATTTTACTCCAACAAAATTTAGAATGGAAGGTGCTAGACGGTGCGGCGGTGAGATATTAAGAAAAACAGAACCTCGATTTGTCCCGCCAGTTTACGGAGTGGACCCTTTCACCCCTACTATTGTAATGCGTTAATTTTGATTCTAGTAGTCACCAGGTAGTCTGTTCAAATGGTACCCTTCTAGGAAGAAAAGCAGAGCTATGAAGAGGCCAGCCATAAGGAGAAATGTAGGGAAATAGCCCAACGAAACACAACAATGACTTCCACCTTGGGCGCTGAAGTCCTAATCGTGAACGCTTTGCTGTGCCTGACAAGGGTTGGAGGTTGGAGTTATTTGCGGGTTTGGCTGTTTCTCACCTACTGGACTTTCCAATTTGCAAGCTTGTAATTATGTGAGTTCTCAATTATTCTGGAAGAGATTCGATTCATTCCGCAGAACGGACAATTCTTCTCCGGATGAAGTGTAATATTTCGTGGAAATGTGGAATCCAGAGAAAATCCCTATTTAAAGAAACGGCACTAAATAGAGAAAATTCAATATATGGAGAGTATATCAAGATAAACCGTTCATACTGCCGAAAGCAGTCCTGACTCGATGGAAATGATGAGCGATTGGCTCGAGCTCCGTTCGTAAGTACCGTGCTTCATACAGCACATGTGCTTCACGAAATCTCCATTCCCTGCTGGTAAAAAGTTAGCGATCGGCCTTTTGTACACTCAGGTACCCAGAAGAGGATACGGCGATAAGGTAGAGCTTTGAAGAAGGGGAAATCACCTATTAGAAAGACAAGTGGATCTTCTAAGGATCGACACGCAAACTGCAGCGAAGAGATGCCCCCGACAGTCTAGCATGGCCGTCCCCGCATCTCCATCGACGCGGCACACCCACCGACTGGCTAACCACTCGCCGCAGGTTTCTAGCACCGATGAGAGTCACGTCAATGCGTCTCATTATGGCATTGATAACGCGCCATTGCTTCTGAAGTGTCGTATTATGGCTAATTGTGTAGGACTCTTACTTGATCCACCATGTAGTTTTCTCATTCGTCTTCAAAGGATCTATCGCGAGCATTTCCTTTGAAGGTGAGTTCCTGGTGCGAACGTCCTCATCGTGAAGAGCGCATGGTGTCATTACAGTCGTTAATAAATTCCTTCACAGATCCTTCCTTCACTGCAAAGAGAAGAGTTGTTACCCCTGCAATCAATTGCAATTTATTTCCGACGTTTTCGCCTATAGCTATATTTTCAGCCACTGAGCGGCATGGACGAAGATGTTAGGACTTCCAAAGAGGTGAGTGACGATCAGTATTTATTAACTCTTCAAAGACTTCACTCTTTCCATATTGAAAGTGCATAGTATCCACTAGGGTTTTCTGCCATTGTATGATATTCATTATCAATCGCCTTTACCTCGTCTCTCGTTGTTTTCTCACTATGTATACCTTTCTTCTCACAGCTTCGCTTCTCTTCCACTCTCTATTTCTCCCAAAAGTTCACTCCGTAAATGAGTCTTTCAGGCAAGCCTCGGGCTGAAACTGCAGGCTAAAAGCATTTCCTTATGTGCTGTGCTGTGAAGTGAAGTAAAAGTGGAAAAGAAAGCAAATGAAACCACCAAAAATAATTGTAAAAGTAAAATTGAGAGCTTAAACTGCGAAAAACTTAAAGCAACAGTCCCAGCAGGGTTTCAACCATTCGATCCTAAGGGGTGGAAACATGCACTAGCCCTAGTCAAGTACATAGGAAATGTCACTGATTTGAAACTTACCTTTGAAAGGCGTTGGAAGGGGGTCTTACGCCTTCAAAGTGGGCGAGCCCCGGTATAAACGCCCACTTGCAGTCGTGAAGAATGCATGCTTTGATGCGGCTCCTTACGCGATTGCTTGTAACTATCCGCGTTTCGAAATAATGCTGCGCCTTTTTGACTGGTTTTAGTTTTACTTGCTTAACTCATTTAATTATTGTATCTTTTTGTTTGTACTGATGCATATGTCTCTGTTTGTATTAGGGCAAATGCGATTGCAGCCGCATTCCTTGCTGGTACGAGCCAGCAAGAATGCAAGACAGTTCAGACAACTCGTCGAACTTGCGGCTTCACCCATTGCTAAGCGGCAGAGTTGAAGTCCATGTCTTCCTTCCTTGCTTTTTCTTTCACTATCGGTCAGCTTTTCACCTACAACTTCATTATCGGTGGTTTTAAGCCCACGAATTCTTTCTGAAATTGTTGCTCTAAGTGAGGTCGCATGAATAATAGTACGAAGGCGAGTCAGACGACCAGAGAAGGCAAAACAAAGAGAACACGCCCAACGAGGGAGCACGCTGACCTCACATCGATCGCGGTGGGTGGAGAGCGTTGCCATGCGTTGCGTTGCGCTGCGAGTCTCTAACGATTAGCGTCCTGAGCGCGCACTTTGTGCAAGGAAGCTGGCATGACCTCTGTGGGTGCAAACAGGTTCAATATTGGCGTGGTTCCTCCTAGTGAGCTCAACCCGAAGACTTGCCTCTAAGCGCTATTTGACTATAACAACCTCGAAGATGGATTTTTATTAAATTGTAATAATGACATGACTTCTTCTCATAATTATAGGGAATAGGAACTCCGAGAACTCCAACAGAGATATCGAAGACAGAAGAGGTTGGTAATCCAGAATTTATCTCAGCACATTTTATGATAGTGACGCATTCGTGGTCACCAAGAATATGGATGGAATTTAACGTTATTTTCATCGGCCTGTCGAACTTACCCTATTCGGAAAAGCATAATTGATGTTTTTTAAATGCAACAATCATGGGAGACGGGAGAGTGTACACGAACTTGGGTGTCCCCAAGAGGCCCGTCGCGCGGCGAAGGAAGAGACGCAGACGCGGCAAAGGACGAGTCGCAGCGCATACTGTAGCGGTTAGGCGTCAGGTTAAATAGAGTGTACCATACTACGTCTCATATCGCACAGCACGCGCTGCGACTCGTCCTTTGCCGCATCTGCGTCTCTTCCTTCGCCGCGCGACGGGCCTCTTGGGGGACACCCCAGAATTTCGCGCTTACGTTGAAAGCACATTCCATTGCACAAGGCCGATTGAGTAACACTGAAAACTTGCCTAATTACTTCATTACATGCTGTGTGTTAATAACAATGAGGCTAGGCTAAAACACAACGATCAAAAAAGAATAAGGTAATATGCGAATAAAACCAAATCTAGAGGATATAAACACGTATACTATTATTGAGCGGAATGCAGATAATGATATACCTAGCTTTTGAATGTGGAGAAGGATCTTGATACCTGACCACTTCGCTCATTCTTGAATACTCCCTACTGCACGACGTGAAAAACCTGCGCCCAACCGGCGAACGCGGTTGTCAAAAAGTATGCCTAAACCTCTCAACTCTTGTCTTGGATGGGGCCATACTATACAAGCTGCTAGATTTTCTCCAGAAGTACCGCTTCATTCTCGTCCTCGAAATTTTTCAGCGGAAAAGAAGTTATCACATGCATTTTAACACCTTGGAGTCTGTCGACCGCGTAGGACCTTTCAGTCCACATTTCGAAAAATATACAAAGTTTTTCTTTATTTTGTTATTCCATTTCATTCGATAAGGTTTCTTCTGCAGCATACAGTAGGTATTCGTTTTCAATTTCCTTGATAAGGTTCCTGAAAATTCCACTGAAGTCCCACTTCCTGAAAATTCCACTGAAGTCCCACGTGGCCGCAAAACGTAAAATATGCGCGGCCTCCAACGTGTTAAATAGGTTCGCGATTCTGATCTTTCATGAGTACTTTTGTCATGAGATGAAAATTTCTTTACCTTCACATGGGAACCTGGCTGCTAAGGATCACGGAAATTTGTGATTATTATTCAGTGTTATGAAAAGCATAGCATATGCTACACAATAAAAAAAGTCTGGTATTAGTTATGAAAGCTATCATGAAATTCATTTCATTATGGCATCATCAATGCCTGAATTGATGTAAAAACGTGAACTGCTCGCGCAGCATCGTCATTTCGCTTCAGAACAGTTGTGTAGAAGTTAAGAGCAGGCAACAACAATTTTCCACAATTGTTGTTATTTACAACGATTGCAACTTTTTGGCATTCCAACAAAAAAAGCATGCTCAGCAATCCTACTGAGCAATTCTTAAGTGGCCTTAATCGACTGGTCTTTCTTTGTTGTCGTAAATGGCATTGTGTTGTTGGAGGGAGAGCGTGTCAAACTTTTCTATGAGAAGCGCTTTTCCTTTGATTAGCACATGTTTTGCGTGGCCAGAGCAACAGTTCTAGTCTCGTGATGTACACATTCAGTCAGGAATGATGAAGGTGGCGGTGAAGAAAAGCAAGACAAAAAACGTCGGCAGCAAGACGAGCCATATTTTTGGAAGACTCGAGGTTTGTTTACGTTTTGCTTCACCATTCGGTGATTATTTTATTGAAGTGCTCGCAATCAGGATAACGTTGATTTGGTAAAAGTACTTCGGAAATACGAAGCAAGAAAGAACTATAAAGAAGCCAGAATGGTTGGTAGCCATCTTATTTTTCTAGTGAGAGATTGTTAGAGGTCCTTATTCGCAATGGCCACGATTCAGGAAAAGAGTGTAGAACTGGCGACACGTATTCTTGAAATAGCTTCTCGTGACAAGGTAAGTCGAGGATGCCTTTCCAATGACACTTTTAAACTATGGACGTACTACTCGACCCAGATTAGGGCTTGAGGATAGCGGGGAGCAGAAAGCATGCATGCTCCATGGTGGCTAACGCCAGGCATGGCGATGCGTTGCCTCTTCGATTAAAGCCACGAGCAGGGTGAATAACGGTCGAGGAAATCCTCGACCATAGCTCTCTACCATGCGAGAGTAGTGCCGAGAGTGAACATCCGCGCGGAGAGCACAGACGGCACGGCATGGCGAGTGTGAATGTCCGCGCGAGAGATCGTCTCTGATCGGGCAGAGAATCCTCGACGTGCCGTTGAGGAATCCTCAAGCGATATTCACCTCTGGCACGAGTCAGGATTAGAGTTAGGTCCCAATAAAGGCCTCATTCAGCCGCCCACCCCCCCCACTATGATAGACGCAGGACTCGCGCTCAGAGGGGTGGCGCCACGCTCCTGACTCGAGATTGCGCGGCGTACAAGGCCTCTGGCCTACTACTTACAGCGATGGGTTCGTTACATCAGCTGGTCCCGCCCACCGCGGGATGTGGTGCGTGGCTGGCCTAACGTGTGAGATCAGCTAGGTTGATTGCCGTATCAACCGATGGAACGGCTGGCATATCCGGAAAACTCGTTTGGACGTGGCTCTTTCCCAAGCCAGCCTCCTTCACTGCTAGTGGGAGAGGGTTTTGTTTCGGCCTTGTCGACGGTTTCTTTTCGTTTTTTCTCCACTGCCGTTCCATTTCGCATCTCCATACTCAGCTTCAGTCACCAAAATACCCCATACTGTACTCGACTTTTGCCTTTGAGCATAAACTTGTTATCGCTGCCAATACCCATGCCCTTGAATCAGAGTCAAAAGGTACACTCGGAAAAGGCATGTACCAGATGAGACACCATCCCCTTCTGGGGAGGGACTTTCATCCGATTCCCCTTCGCGTGTTCCTCCAATCGTGCCCTAGTTCTCCCTGCTCCTCATTCTTCTTCTTCCTAGCGTTAAGCCTATGCAGCTGTAGGGACCACAGTTCATGTCAGATGTCGCCCCATTTTGTCCCTCGAATTTCCTCCAAGCGGTGATGATCTCCGAGTGTGGAAGGCGAGAGCAAATAAGGGAGTTCAGGCGGCTGCGCTGGGCAGAATTCTTTTCTTCCTAGCGTCAATCCTATGCTGTTGCAGGATTTTCTTTTCTTGTCAATGGTCGCACCTTATCCTATCCTGGGCATCTTCTGCCGTCAATCTGACTTCAGCAAGCTCTTCTTGATGATTTCCTTTCAGATAAGGGTGCGCCATGCTAGCTCATGTTCTTCCATACCTAAATCGCCAACCCATCTTCCGCCGTCACAGATTCCTCGTCAAATCCAGTCTCGGTCCAGAGTACAATGGAACCAGCCGTCGACTCTACTTGCGGGTTGTCTTTGTGAAGAAACCCTTCATTTCCCAGTGACTACTTTTTTCGTCCGCTATAACATCTCTTAACCTGGACTGGCTTTCTGGAGAAAGCACCATTGCTGCTTTTTCAACTCTTCACCACCCTGATGTGACGAGTAGCTCGATGCTGGGACTTACCCAGACTGTTCTGCATTGCTGCTCTCCAGGCTCTCATATGACGCGCTTCACATATTGTACGGAGTCGACTGTCTTACAGTTATGCGTATCGTAGTACAACAACGAGTTCCCTAATGTGATACTTGAGGCACCCAACAGCGGTGTAACCTAAGCGAGAATGCCAAAGAAAGAATGCCAAAGGATTTGGAGGCCTGATGCGGACTCGTTCTCGTTTCTGAGATATTTCCACGATCACGTGAAAGGTATCTACGAAACGCACTGCTGTTGTGCAAGTCTGCATCGCGGGCCCACTAAATAACGGCTCGGCAGCTGGTGCTCAGAGATACACTTTCTGAGCAGGCATTTCAAGGCATTCTTCTCCCTATCCATGAAAACCCTTCCCAGTACTAATATAGCCACGTACGTCCTATAAGTTCGAAGTTGACTATCAACCCCTGGACAAACGTTTATAGTCATGCGAGAGAGCGTCACGAAAAATCAGAAAATGAAATGTTGCATTGATGTTCTAGCTCGGTAGATACTTACAGTGAAAGTGGAGTACATTCATATAACATTTTTTTTACCGATCATCTGTCCTACTTTCGCAAAGTTATTCACTTGTTGCCAACAGTTTTAATGAAATCCAAATTTCTATTCATAGGCAAGTTCACATTAGGTGAGTGAAATATTGTGAATGCGCCGACAAAGAGTAAGAGGCCTAGAGCGAATCAAGTCTGAGGTGTCCTCTGTGGCAAACGAACGTCATGAAGCAAAACTGATGCTAGCAGAACACTCTTGTCTTCTATATGACTCCTTGATAATTCTCAAAACTCCCCCGCCTGTTTCTATCACATCGCCGCCCATTAATTCTTATTTCGCTCCACTCCTCTTACCAGGATATGTGATTAGGGAAATGGACCCAGGAATTGAGATGAGGTATACGTCCTAGTATACTCAAGACACTAAGCTAAAATATAGCTTCCAATACCTAAGGGATCACTCCCCTTATTCAAATTTGATGGTAAGGGCGGAAGTGGTGTAGTGACAAGTGGCGCGCTCACCACGCGAGCGGTCCGGGATCAAATCCTGGGTCGTGAGTCGCCCGGGCCAACCAAGCCTTCCATCCCTCCGGGGTCGGTTAATTGGTACCAGACTTGTCTGGGAGGATAAAAACACTGACTTGTACATCGGCTGGCCCCCGCAAGTCATTGTATAGGCCACATCGCATTCAAACGCCACTACGAATGTACAAATGGAAGTAGAATGCGTGCCGCATCCCAAAAAGGGATTGATCAACGGCAAATGCTTTATCCTTTATTCTTTATCCTTGAATGGTAAACGCGTGAAAAAAGTGCAAGTGGACACTCGTGAGAAGTTCACTCCACTGAAGAAGGCGTAGCAGAAAGTTCAAAACTTTGGACGTGCCTTGGTTGCGTGCCACTTTCGTCTTGAAGGAAAATTCCACTATAGGTCGAAGAAAGGGAAACTACCCTAATGGAACAAGACAGGCGGACTGACACGCACTCACAAGCGTAAAGGTGGTGCCCGGGTGGCCTATCATGGGCGTCTTGCAACGTCGCTATCCGACGCGGCACGCCCACTGATTAGCTAACCACTTTCCGCAGATCTCTAGTCGCTTATCGTTAGTAGAGAGAGTGAGTTAGCGTAGAAGAGGACAGCACCGATGAGAGACTCATCAATGGGTAAACCAACGGGCAAGAAAAGAGCCCATTTCTCGGGTCTTAGGCCATGTCTCGCGGCTCTTTCTTCCGATCCAGGCACCACCTCTTTGTTTGTAATATGCTGCCTTTCTAAACGATGAACCGAAACACGCCGCGTGACTGCAGAAGGTGCAGATTTCAATCCTAATCTGGATTGCATAAACCGTGGAAACATTTTCTGGCGACTGTCGTTTCCATCAGGATGGTGTTTTGTCACATAATTTAAGCCCACCGTGGTAGACACGTCACCCAGAAACCGGCAACCGCCTTTCGATCGTAGTTGATTATTCTATTACTACACAATATGCTTACGAAAAAAACGAGCTCTTTTTGAAGGTCCTCAAAGAAGTCGACAAGCTGATTAATAGTATGATAGAACACGTTCGTGCGCATCAAGAAGTAGATGAAGAAACGAAGATATTAACGGAGAAGAAAGATGTGGTATGTGAACTGAAAAAATTAAAAAAAAAAATAGAACTTTGCTAACGGGGTTCGATTGTAGAATGCTCGCCTGCCACGCGGGCCTCTCGGGTTTTATTCCCGCCCGATGCACCAAAGCACTGTTCTTACGATGATTCAGTGGTAAGATTTATTGAGAACAAAGTCCTCAACCGTCAAGCAATGTATCAGAGGCAAAAAACCAATGCAAGCTACAATGATACACTTGATATATGTATAGTGTGCGCGCATCAAAGGGACACATTAAAACAAAAGCGTTACATTTCTACGAAAGCATGAAAATCTGGGAAATCGAGGCTAATGCAAGAAAATACTGTAAAATGGTAAACAAGTCGCGATTGCTCGCGACAGCAGCTTCGGAAACATAGTCCAGAATATGAGAGCGTAGTTGCTAAGCTTCCAACCAAGATTGACAATAACTTTATTGGCCGACGTTTCGGTGCTTTCACCTTCTTCAGAGCCTGGAAAAGTCGAAAGCCATTTAGGAAACTACCCGTCCAAACACTATTTCAACCTACAAGATTCATTCAACAGGGAGTAAACTACTAAAACAATGTCATGGAGGGAGATGAGAACGAACCTTTAGAGATGCTGGCCAGAGAGGTCCACCTGCCACCCCGAGCTGGTAGTAACGCGCATAAATAGGTAAGGTAGGTGGTGGCAGTGTGCACCGCTACGCAGCATCTCTAAAGGTTCGTTCTCATCTTCCCTCCATGACATTGTTTAGTAGTTTACTCCCTGTTGAATGAATCTTGTAGGTTGAAATAGTGTTTGGACGGGTAGTTTCCTAAATGGCTTTCGACTTTTCCAGGCTCTGAAGAAGGTGAAAGCACCGAAACGTCGGCCTAATAAAGTTGTTGTCAATCTTGGTTGGAAGCTTAGCAACTACATTCTCATATTCTGGACTATGCCAAGATTTATACAAAGTCGAACTTGGACACTGCTTGTAGGGATTGTAATCCATTCATGATATTAAACAGAACCATTGGAGCTCACGCTTCAAACATCAGCTGAAA